AATTGCAGCACCATGAGGTACTGTCCATTTTGGACCAGCGTATCTCTCAAAACTTGTTCTTATGACTTTTTGTTTTAAGTAACATATCACTTTCAGTTTGAGCTGGACACATGGTCACCCAACAAGAAGCTAAATTTCTGTGTCCGTGGCAGGTGAGTGAGACCATATAACTAAATTTGGGGCCAATGACTCGGAGAGAAGTGATGTGTGCCTGGTTTTCTCAATTTCTTTTTTTCCCCCCTCCTGTGGCCTAGAATGTGAACATGTTGGTGGTGAACTACTTTCAACCATACGAATAAAGGAAATCCCCAAGGGAATCTAGAACAGGAAAACAAAAGGTACATGGATTCATGGTCAGAGCTACTCTACCATTCTGGACTACTCACCAACTCAGACTTCTACATAAGAAAGATCAATTAACTTCCATGTTCTTTGAGCCACTGTTATCTCTTTTCTCTTAAAGTATCCAAACTGATATTTTAAAGAATATGAATAAGGGGGCTAGGGTTGTGGCTCAGTAGTGGAGCACTCATCTAGCATGTGTGAGGCCTTGGGTTATATCCTCAGCACTACATAATAAAATGAAGGTATTGTGTTCAACTACAACTAAAAAAATATTTTAAAAAAAGAATATGAATAAGAAAAATCTTCTTAATGTTCATCCTGGACCCTGCTTTCTCCTAAAGAAATTCTGCTTACAGTTTCTAAGAACCAAACTTTTATTGCCTTTATCTGTTTGGAAATGGGAGATTTTTATCATGGATATCAATTGCGAATCTCACAGCAACCCAATAAACACCAAGCATGAGGAGGGAAGGGAAAAAGAATTGCAACCACACTGAGAACTAGATGTCCCTTCATGCATAAACTATTATCATGCAGGCAAACAAACACTACCACATTGGCTTCTAGGAATGTTGCGGGGTTGTCCAGGACACCTCTTAGGGTTACAGAGAACAGAGGCTATGAAGGCAGGTGCAGGCTCAGTCATGGTACAGTCATGGGGTATCCTCTATCTCCAAACTGCTCAAATAATTCTATTTTCCAAAAGCACACCCTTGTAGCAGATACATAAGATGTAGGCTAAAACTAACCAGGCCAAATTGTTTCTAAGAAAAATCTACTTTTGTCCTTATTAATGAAGATACAGTCTGAAATCAGTTTATTATTTATAACTTAGACTCAGCAATTCACTTGAAGACAAAATTTTATTAGTTCCTTTGCACTAAATGAAAGAGATAATGGTAATACTTAAAACTAAATTTGGTTCAGTTTTTTAAATTGGTTCTAATTAGATTACATGACAGTAGAATGCATTTTGACACATCATACATAAATAGATGTATTTATGTATGATGTGTCAACTCTTCTGGTTGTACATGATGTAGAATCACGCTAGTTGTGTAATCATATATGCACATAGAATAATAAAGTCCAATTCATTCTATTATCCTTCCTGCCCCCATACCCCCTCCCCTCTCTTCACTCCCCTCTGTCTAATCCTAGTGGTTCAGTTCTGATGTTAATTTCTCAAAATGCTGATGACCACTTTGCAGCTGATCTACTTTATTTGGCATTCTCAATCAGTGTTCTATTATAGCAGTAAGCCCTGAAGAAAATTATTTGTGAGTCTTTTCTCAATTTTTCCAAAGACAATACATAGCAACTACCACTCTAGATGCATGAGAGAGAGGTTAATTTACTACACACAATGAATGTCTAAGGGCATCAAGGCTTAATTCTCTCCAAAACTCTGGTTGAGAAAGGACTATAAACTGACCATCATATATCTGCTCTTTCCTCAGGGCTTAAAAAATCATGAATATTGAGCTGGGTGCGGTGGCACATGCCTATAATCCCAGAGCCTCAGGAGGCTGAGATGGGAGGATCACAAGTTCAAAGCCAGTCTCAAGAATTTAGTGAGATTCTAAGCAACTCAGATAAACCCATTCTCAAAATAAAAAGGGCTGGGGATGTGGCTCAACGGTTAAGAGCCCCTGGGTTCAATCCCAGTACAAAAAACAATTATGAGGGACTGGGATTGTGGCTCGGTGGTAGAGCACTTGCCTCACACGTGTGAAGTCCTGGGTTTGATCCTCAGCACCACATATAAATAAACAAATAAAAGGTATTGTATCCATCTATAACTAAAAATATTTTTTAATTGTGAATATTAAGTCACTTCTTATCACTCCAAAATAAACTAGTCTGGGAACTAAAATAAGACGCTATATAAAATTCCCTGACCTCAGAGCCTAAGCTTCTTAAATCCCTGCTGTTTATACTATGAAATGTGCTAGTGCCTCCTAGCCTCTCTCAACTAGATATCATATGATCACCTCACCTAGCAAGAGGCTATCATGCTGAGGGACACTCATTAAGCAGGCAGATAAAATGAAATATCTCCTTTAAATAAATGGTGCTAGGACTACTGGATATCCACAGGCAAAAAGAATAATGTTGGATCCCATCCTCATACCACACCCAAAATGAATTCAAAACAGAATACAAGCATCAGTATAAAACTTAAAACTTTTAGAAGCAAGCATAGGAGCCAATGTTCATGAACTTGGAGTTGGCAATGGTTTCTTAGATATGAAACCAAAAATATAAGAGACAGAAGAGAAAATAAACTGGATTACATCAAAATTAAAAACTTTTGTTCTATAAACAGAGCCATCAAGAAAGTGAAAAGACAACTCACAGAATGTGAGAAAATATCTGCAAATAATATATCTGACAAGGGGGTTGTATCCAAAATATATAAAGAACTCATAACTCAAAATAGAAAAAGATTAGCTGGGCGCAGTGGTGCAAGCCTGTAATCCCAGAGGCTGAGTCAAATAGACCATAAGTTCAAGGCCAGCTTCAGCAATTTAGTGAGGCCCTAAGCAATTTTGCAAAACCCTGCCTCAAAATAAAATATAAAAGGGGCTAGGGATGTGTCTCAGTGGTTAAATGCCCCTGGGTTCAATCCCCAGTACCAAAAAAAAAAAAAATGTGGGGAGAGAAAGATTAAAAACTTAATTAAAAGTGGGCAAAGGCCAGGCACAGTGGTGCATGCCTGTAATCCCAGTGACTCAGGAGGTAGAGGCAGGAGGATCACAAACTTGAGGTCAGCCTGGACAACTTAGTGAGAGTCTACCTCAAAATAAAAATAAAAAAGGGCTGGAAATGTATCTCAGTGACAGAGCACCCCTGGGTCTAATCCCCAATAACACACACACACACACACACACACACACACAAAAGACAAAAGCTGTGAATAGATATTTATTCAAATAATATATACAAATGTCCAATAAGCACATGAAAGGATTCTCAACCTCATTAGTCATTAAAGAAACACAAATCAAATCCACAATGAGACACCACTTCACACTATGATGGCTATAATAATAATAATAAAACAAAAAATGCTGATGAAGAAGTAGAAAAACTGGAATCCTCATACATTCATGAGAATGTAAAATGTTACAATCAGTGTGAAAAACATTTTGATAATGATAAATGTAGAATGAACACATAGCCCAGGAATTCCATGCTTAGTTATGCACTCAAGAAAAGTGAAAACATAGGTCTCACACAGAAACCAAGTACACAAATAGTATAGCAGCATTATTTCTAACAGCCAATAAGTAGAAATATAAAATTCCATCAGTTGATAAAAGGCTGAATAAAATGTGGTATCTCCATACAATGGATTATTATTTGGCAATAAGAAATGAAGTTCTGATTCATGCTACAACATGAATGAACCCTGAAAACACTATATAAAGAAGCCAGACACAAAGAATCACACGTTGCATGATTCCATTTATATGAAATGGGCAAATAAGCAAAATAGATACAAAGTAGATTAGTTGTTGCCAGGCACTGGGCAGAGAAGGGAAACGGGGAACAGAGATTCTTTGGGGGATGATAAGGATGTTCTAAAATTAGATGGTAGTGATAGCTGCAGGGCTTTGTGCATATACTAAAAGCTAATTGATTGTAGATTTAAAAGATGAACTGTATGTCAATTTCATTTCAATAAAACTGAAATTGAAAAAAAAAAGAAAACCAGAAAAAAATATCTCTTTTATGGATTGATACTACCAGGGAATTTTCCCTTTGCAGGGTGGGGAGATCATCTGAAGAAGAGGAATGCAAAAATTCAGAACTGTGTTTCAGCTACAAAGGCCAGTTGCTGATACCACCCACAAAACTTGCTGTTTTTCTTTCCACGACAGTGTAAGTAGAAGAAAATCCACATAAGCCCCAGAGACCTAAAAGGTCTTTACAGAAGTGTCATGATAGATATTGAGCCCATACATTCATGCCCAGTCAGGCTCATGTAAAGTTAAGTGAGAGCAGCAGGTTTCTGCCCTTGATACCTCACAGAATGTTACAATAAAAAAAAATGAGGCAAGTGAAGGCTCTTCTCAAAGCCAAATGATTTGTCCATAATTTTGTTGTCTCAAGTCTCTGGCCATGTCCACAAATGTCCCCATGCTCTCTCCAATATCAGTTTCAGCTGGTGAGATAAATATTATAGATGTTCTAACTGTGCCCATTCAGAGCTGAGATGACTGATGACAAGAACTCTTTATGGGGATTTTTAAAAACCACGTACCACTTCTATTGAAAGATGTGTGGTCATGGAGCTAGCCATATGCCTGGAAAGAATGAGATAAGACAGGAAAAGTGGGAAAACTGCCCATAGTACTGTCTTCTTCCTAGGAAAATCTACGTCAGCACAATAAAGAACAGTAGGAAGGCAAGAAGAGACAAAGGGCAGGAAACCCAACCAAACCACCACAGCCTAGGACTCAGTTGCCCCTTAAATTCTATAGGGTCAGGTTAAAATTCTATAGTTTAAAAACCTTCTATGTGACTGGGAGACCTCAATCCTATCATAGAGGTGAATAAGACAATCATAAGACTATTCCACGAATGTGAGTTTACACTCACACACACATAAAAGAGAGTCTCATCTTGTTCTCATCAGTTCTACTTACTTTTGGACCGTTGGATGGGGTTTCACAGTTGCTACAGAAGTTGGCCCACCTGCAGCAGTAGAAGGCTCTTGGTTTTCCGTAGATTGATTTTCAGGTCTGAATTTCCTACGAATGGGCTTTGATGGAGCCTGAGAATACGATATATCCTGTGGATTAAAAACAAAACGAAAAACTACAAAGTGAAAAACAAATCCCCCACCACCACCATCATGCTAGCTTTGTCCCCAAGATCAGAAGATTGCTCTATTCAAACTTCATATCCAAGGATAAGTGGCTGACTCCTAGCTTGGCAAGAACAGGAAAGATACAGGCATCAGATTCCAGCAGGTAGCCAGCCTTCCTGCCTGCCTTCCTTTGTCTCTTTTTCTTTTAAATGCTTACAGTCTATTGCCTCTTTTTGTCATCTGGAAGAACACAGGAATCAGATTCTAGTGGCCTTCCCTTGTAAGCGATCTATTACTTCTTGTGAATTAAGCTCACGTAGACCCTGTGCATCTAACATAGTTTTGTTTTGATTTTTTTTCAACTGAAGACAAAATTGGCTCTGTCTTACTTTGGCACCTTTTATAACAAAAATTTTGAAGTTTTTATGTCTTAGTCATGTGCTTATAATTTTCTTCCTCCTGATGTCCACAAAAAGTCAAACAAAGAAGCTACACTGTGTTCTGGAAGGAGACAGCTTGTCTGCTTCCTTGGAGGACCCTGCATCATCTGTGCTCCCAAGCCCAAGGCCCATTCTCTTCACTGGGAGAAGGGCCTGGAAGAAAATGGGGAATAACAAGAAGAGGATAAGAAAAAAAGTAGGGAACAAGCATGATAAGTAGATGGTAATAACTGAGCAAATGAAAGGGAACTCAATGGTGTGGCTGGGCAGAAGTAAAGATAGTGGAATGCAAGATGAAATCATTGTACAAAGGCCAAGAAGGGGAGAGTATTCCACCCCCAAAAAATGTTCATTCAGGCTTAGCAGGTGTGTGGGGTTTCACTAAATGCATATATTCCTTCCCACGTCATTTGATTTGCCAAAAGCAAGGCCACTATCTTTAGCTGGGAAGTTGAGGAGGAGAGTATGAACTCTCAGTAATATCAAGGGTTAAGTTCAGAAAGTTTCAAGATCCTTATCTTCACAAAGAAAACACATTTTAGGAAAAGTGGATTGTTCCCATTCCTTTCAGAACATGAAAACTTTAAAGCAGTAGATCTGATAACAGAGGCAAGGAGCCCGGGAGAGGTCCTCAGAATGCCACCACAATGGCATCCTCATGCTGCCCTTACCTTCTTTGCTGGACTACCTTCTGCAGCCTGGGAAGGGGCTCTGTTCATCTGTGGGAGTACCTCAGTCTCAGATACTTGTTCAGACTGTAGCAAGAAATCAGAGAGATGATATAAATGCAAAGATACAACCACCCAAATGTATACTACATTTGATCTTAACCAAAATACATAACACCTAAATATATAACAGAGTATTCAGGAAAATGGTCACTCAGGGAAAACTAATTTTGACCAAGTTGCAGCCAAGCATGGTTGAGTCTGGTGATCCTTGGGGGAAACTCCTCACAGACCTTGCTATTCCCTTCCACCTCTCCTCCCCGCATTATTCAACCTTAGGAAAAGGAATCATGGGAATTTCTACTATAACTGACATACATATTGCTTAAAAACTAACACTTTACAAAATCGAATTCTAAAAATAATGGGGTCTATGGGGGGAAAGACCTTAAGATCTTAACTGGAGTGCTAAGAAAAACAATCATTATCATTTAAAACACACTGCAATTTTTAAAAAATGTTAAATACCTAATAAAGAAACACTCTAGTAAATTGGGCTCTTTACATTTAAAAAAGAAGGAGGCTTGTGGTAGAAGGACTCATCAGATTGTTGAGACTGCTAAGTGGTATGGAATCAATGACTAAAATGTACAAAGATTGGCAAAGAATGCCAGGGTAACTGGGTGTCACGTGTGGCTCCCTATTTCCCAGAGACTTGCTTCCTTCAGCTATGTTACACTACTTTGCTTTCAGCCAATGGTGCAAAATGTTAACATGCTGAGGAAAAAAAAAAACCCACTTGCAAAATAAATGACTTCCACATTCCACTGACAGTCCTCCATTTACCCACAAATTAATTCATACTATAGCAACACATTGTAGCACAACCGACTGCCTTGATGTGCTCTGATCCATCCTTCTCTAACCACTCAGAGAGCAAGGCTTCTTTCTATGACTCTACTGAAAGGGTTGGTTCCCAGGGAACTAACATTCTCTCATTTAGTAGATTCTTTTCTAATCTTCTCATTCCCCTTGCACCCAACATGGCACCCTTGACTGCTTTTTTTTTTTTTTTTCAAACTCCTGTCCTTGGCATCCGAGAAGCTGCAATCTCCTACTTGTAATCATTTTTTTTTGTCTTTTCTTATCCTTCAAATATAGGGTTTCTCAACTTTCTGTCTTCGGTTCCCCTGTCCCATTTTTCTCTCCCTATTCATTTCTCCTTACAGTAATCCCATCTGCTTCTATCTTTTATCCCAAACACTCCATCTCTTCTAAACCCATTATGCAGGCATTCAACATACCTGATTTCTAGTTCCAAGTACTTTTTTACAGCCTTCTCCCTTCCTTCAATGATAACTGTTTTATTATTTTTGCTGTTACTATTATCAGATACTATGAAACACTGAATATGAGCTATATGTCATACATTGCTCAAAGTGCTTTGCATGATTATTTATTGCATTCCCTCATCATAGCCCTAGGAAGTATCATTATTCTCAAACTTTTGGTGAAGAAATTGAAGATCATGAAGTTAAGGAACTCACCTAAGATCACACAAATAGCAAGATCTAAATCCAGGCCTTGAGTTCGAAAGTTAGGCTTATAACCACAATGCTATGTAGCCTCAGGCACCCTTAAGCCAAAGAGTTATTCATTCAAGGCAATGTTTATTTTTGCTACTGCAGGTGGGCCCTGTGCTGTTATCCAAGGATGAACAACGTACAGACCCTGCTTATAAGCAGTCTGGAGGGGGATAGCTGGGTCAAATGGTGGTTCCAATCTCAATTTTCCAAGAAATCTCCATACTGCTTTCCATATTGGCTGCATCAATTTGCAGCCCCACCAGCAGTGTATGAGTGTACGTCTAGGGGAGAGACGAAGAAATGGCCAAGCAATCATGCTTCAGGAAACTATGGTGGGAAGCAGTGTGGCGACTACAGAAGCACACAGCCATGTATAGCAGCAAAGATTAAGGCAGCAGCTGGGCATGGTGCCGCATGCCTATAATGCTAAGTTTGGGAGGCTGAGGAAGGAGGATCGTGATTTCAAAGCCAGTCTCAGCAAAAGCGAGGTCCTAAGCAACTCTCACTGAGACCCTGTCTCTAATAAAATACAAAATAGGGCTGGGGATGGGGCTCAGTAGTTGAGTGACCCTGAGTTCAATTCCCAATACCATCCCCCACCCCAAATAAAATGACTCAGGCAGCAAAGAGTCAGCTGAGGTCTTAGTGACACGCAGAACACAGCCAGTTACAGGAGCAATGTTTGGAGGTGGTAAAAATGGAGGCTCCAAAAATTCACAAAGGGCCTATATGCTCTGAGACTCATGATGTCAGCCTGGGTCACCACAAGAACACTGAGGCGGATTCCCAAGACAGGAAGCACAGGACAAGCAGCAGTAAGGGGAGCCCACTTTGAGTCATAGAGAGTTTGAAGTGCCTGGGAAACACCCAACGAAAGCTTCCCCAGGAGCTTTCATTGTCAGGAGTACAGAGAATGCAGCACTCTCTTCACTTTTCTTGTGGGTTGTGACAAATGGACTCATACTCCAAGATCTGTGACTCAAACATCAACTTAATTAATAGCTGAGTGAGGGCCCAATAACCGCTTGAGTATAGAGATTCGGGTGAACTATGGTAAAGAATGCAACTTGGACCTGAGGCCCCTTCCTTCCTTCCACCCACAAATCTCTTACTTTGAAGGTATCTGTTCTGGCTCCAAGTCTATGCATGCAGCCCCCTGCAGGGACCACAGGTGTGTAGTGACATACCTCACCAGGCAGGCAGAGAGAGGAGGAGTGACAGACCCCCGGCACTCTGCCTTTCTATTGGTCACTTCTCCTCAGGCACACAGAGAAATGTGTGCTCTACACTCCCTTCCCCATAGAGGTAAGTGAAGTCTCCTTCTTGTGAAAATAATGAAGGAGGCGATAAAGTGACCTTGTTCTCAACAGAAATGAGGATTCTGAACACAGAAAAGGTGTAGAGTGTCTTTGTTGATGCCACCTTTTCCCTTAAACATCTCTAAAAACACAAGCAACAATCAGATAGGAGCTGGGAAGAATGAGGAAGCAATGGTAAGATGTGTCTGAGTTCTTTTAAGCTTTATTTTATTTATTTATTTTTATGTGCTGCTGAGGCTCAAACCCAGTGCCTCACACATGCTAGGCAAGCACTCCACCTCTGAGCCACAGCCCCAATCTGAATTTTTTTCATTTACAAAAGTACCTTTCTGAAATTATATGCAAGGACCTGGGATACAGATACAGATATTGATATAGAGATATACAGATACACACACTCTCACACATCAATTCTAGTGCTTTCCAACTGCAAATGACAAGCTATTTTCATTCCAATTTTGCCAAAAAAAAAAAAAAAAAGGCCTGGATAGGTCACATGGTAGAACAAGGTACTGCCGCTTAGGATGCAGAGAACTGTCTGGCCTGTGGTTTTGCCTGTTTCCATGGATGATGGAACAACATGGCCTGCTCAGTTGGCTTTCCAGAAATGAATACAGGCCCAGAGAAGCTAAGCACTTCTGTTCATTCATTTTTATCCAATTACAGTCAGGTTCCTTGGTAAATACTTCAGAATTAAACAGGAAGAAGCCAGCAGTCAAAGGTGCTATAGTGCCCCCACTCAGATCACCTTTACCTGGCTGACACATCCATCCCCCAGCTGTTCTGAGGTTTGGCTACTAATGACTCACAGCTGCTCTTTTCTCTAGAGAAAAATTGTCAACTGATGGAAGCCTACCTCCCAACCCTTCCCCCAGCAGGCCACGGACAAAAACTGATGTGTATGTAGAAGGATATAAAAGGGCAGTCCTCTATCTCAAAGGAGGATAATTCTGTGATGTAATTTATATACCAGATTACTCCCTATATGGATCAGGCCAAGGTCAGCCTTTATCTGAGACTCCATTATTCCTTGGTTTTTTTCCCCTTGGCTTTTTTGCCTTTAAGGAACCTGGCCAGAGACACTACACAACATGGTCCCAGAAAGGGGGATTTAAAGCACCCTAATATGCTATCCCTGGTATTTCTCTCTCTGCTTCTGTGTGTATTTTTCTCTCATATACTGGTTATTCTGGGCGAAGTCAGCTGATATACTATAAGGAAATCCACTCAGTCCTAATAAGGGGTCTACTTAGCAAGGAAGTGAGGCCTCCTGCCAAGTCATCTTAGCACTGGATCCTCCAGCCCCAGGTGAGCCTTCACATGACTGCATTCCTGGATGACATCTCTTTTTTTTTTTTTTTTTGGTGCTGCTGGGGATGGAACCCAGGGCCTTGAGCCACATCCCCAGTAGCTTCTTAAGACCCTGGACCAGAACCAACCAACCAAGCCACTCCCAAATTCCTGATACAGAGAGATAATACATGTTAGTCATTTTATTTTCATTTTTAAAATTGGGTTAGGAATATGTGTAGAGTTAGGAATCTAGTCGTGTAGAGTTAGGAATCTAGTCAGGTAGAGTGAAGTTAAAGTGTGGGGAGCAAAACAGGGGGCACGCCTAGAACTGGAGAAAGGCAGTGGGGTAGACCATACATGGCTTTACAGACCTGGATTATCTGAAGACCATTCATTCAGCACCTTCCCCACTTCTGTACTTTTCTCTACACTGCAGCAGACAGAAGCCTGACAATGTCTAATGCTTTTTGTAAGCATCTAATTCCTTGAATTAAATGTCTTCTACTATGGAATACCACCCAATAATTTCTGTCTCCCTAACCAGACCTTACATCTACATTGCATATTTGGAGCACACCCTGAGGGCCAGAGGGGCCACCTGTAGACTCAAAGTAGACAAACAGTCTGATTTGCTTTGTATTTTAAACCAGGTTGGTGGGAATGGGAACAGGTAGATGTGAGAGTTACTTAGATTGGAAACTGGATACATCATTGGTGCTTGATAGAATATGGCATAAGTGAAAGAAAAAGAACAAGGACATTTGGAACTCAGGTTTTCACCCTGATAAGTGGTTGAGAGGAAAAAATGGTTTAAAGCAAGAAGAAAGAATTATGGCCATACAGAAACTGAATAAAATTAAGCAGATTCATCATAAAGCAGTGCTGGAAA